ATATATTAAGTTAATAAATTTTTCAAAATGGACAAGTGTTTAATAGCATTATTAGGCTAAAAATGCAAACCTGTGTTAAACAAAGTCTCTGATGCGTTAGGCCCGGTTCATAAGTCGTGCTATTGTTGCGCTGAACCAAATAGTCATTTGTTGACCCAAATACATTTGGTACAGAACTGTGTTGATTCGTACAGTGAATCAAATGCAGTCCAAAGCATAAGAAATACATGCAATTTACATCCATTTAATATTATTGTCCAAAACAGATATTTTTGTTCATTAAGTTTGGCATGTCAAAAGCAATATGTTTGAATCAGCATCAAGCTTTTGCTGTGCAGCAAGACTGATGTTGACATGCCCCTGACATGGTACAGTCATGCTGAACTTAATTGATTTATACGTTGAGCCATTTATGTGCTAAATGTACTATTTGGTTCAGTGCAAAGCTGGCTTGACATATGAACGGAGCCTACAAATTTCCTTCTCTTTTGGATATGCTCTTTGTTCTTGAATGGGTACAAAATCTCCARGGATAAGAAAAGGAATATGTATGCAACTTTGCAGTGCAGAAAAGGGGTAGAGTGTTACATGTGACCGTGTACTTTTCAGAAGATTTGTAGAAAAGGGGGCACGAGTTTGGCAAATTTAATGAATAATATATATGGAGAAAAAAAAAATGAAATGTACTATTTTTCAAGCTTGTCCCCCACCCCTCCAAAATATAAGTGTTCCACAGCTATGTGTAATAAACAATATTCTTGATTGTTTGATAGAAAACTGCAAGAACCACAGCACTGTTAGTTGTAGATGTTCAGAATGACTTCATCAATGGTTCTTTAGCATTGAAACATTGTCCTGCTGCTGAAGACGGCTATGAAGTGATTAGTACTATTAATGAAATCCTTCATCAAAAACTCTTCAATCATGTTGTGTATACACTAGACTGGCATCCACCAGACCACTGTTCGTTTGTTGATAATGTCCATAAATACCCAGTCCATCACTCTAGTCCTGTTACAGCCAAGGAAGCCAAAGTATTTGAAACTGTTGTATATTCTCATCCAACTGTCATACAGCAAAGATTGTGGCCAGTACATTGTGTGGAAGACACTTGGGGAGCTGCACTCCATGAAGATCTTAAGGTTAAAATGTGCACCACTTTTCTTTTCACTTACATATTAACCTTTGTATTATGATAACRAATACCATTGTTGCTAAACTGAATCAGCAAAACCAAGAAATWTCCATTTTAAAAATAATTTGAGACAGTATTTCAGTCCCACAGTTTTTTTTAATATGATTTTTTGAATCCACCTTAGAAGTTCATATTCACTTTTCCTTAAAAAAAACTWASCCTTAGCTTCCAACCTAAAGTCAGTCAAATTAGGAAAGAAAGTGTCTGTATCTGGAAGATCATGCCCAAAATCTGGAGAATCCTGATTTTAACTGAAAGTCAGTTGGAAGCTATGTTTGTAAGGACTATGCGATATGAAAAATATATATGACCCCACCTCATTATATATAACATACAGTCTGACACAAAAACAGCTGTGAATGAAGATTGCAAATATTTTCAACTGTTTTTTTTTATATCAAAGGCTCCTGATGAAGAAGACTACATCAGTAAAAAGGGGCTCGAGGCACATATTGACAGTTATTCAGCATTTTGGACCTCAGGCCATTTGCATCAGAGCGATCTTTTCAAAGTATTACTAAGAAAAGGTGTCACTGATGTATACATTGCTGGGTTGGCATTTGATATCTGTGCAAGGTTTACAGCTATAGATGCAGCTTTACATGGGTTTAACACTTACGTCATTGAGGATGCATGTCGYGGTACTTGTCCACATGCTAACTCGCAAACAAAAGATGAATTCAAGAAACATGGGATTGCATTGTTAAATTCCAAAGATGTAAGTCTCTTTGCCATTTATGAATTATGATAATTCATACATCATGTATCTGTGTAAATCTAAATCCATATTGTTTTTTTTTAAGATTGATTGATAAATTCCATTATTTAACCGCTGGGACCTCATAACCCTGACACAGTTCCAGAGTTAGATCATTAAAAACGATACCCTGTTCCAGAGTAAAATCCAGCACTAGCCTGCGTGTAGACCGAATTTTTACCCCGTTAATTTTTACCCAGCATCAATAATTCTGAAATTAAACCCTGACTCTGTTCCAGAGAAAATTTGTTGAAATCGATACCCTGTTCCATCCCCTCCCCCCTGGGGATAGTAATTGATCCTTCCATACATTTTGTTTAAGCTTTCTGACCACTTTGGACATCAAGTTACAGAATCAAGTTGAAAGACCCAAACACTAAAGTACAAAGGACCACAAAGTAGTTTATTAACATTTTCAAAATGAACATACTGTACATTAATTTTATTATTATCTATCACCAAAGGAACCTTTCTTAGACCTTAAAGTGTGATTTTCAATAACTTTCAGAACTTGTTTTCACTTCTCTGAATATGTTTGTGCACATGTTGCATTGATACAGTGTATGTACTGTATTTGACCGCAATTGACAATTTATAAAAAGTGGATACAGACCCTTGCATGTGAAACCAAAGCATCTTCATCTTGGGAGAAAACAAATGACTTTAGCTCTCTTGTTAGCTTCAATCCTTTATCTTCTCAAAGTATAGGGGTCTATACCTGAAAATTGTACTTGCGATGCAAAAGAATGTCACAAATAAAAATTCCCTGTAGCATGACATTCCTCACCATAGTTGTACAGTATTACATCATTTGAAAACTGTCAGAAGGCCCACTCATTTTAAAAGCTTTACATTTATAATGAGTTGTGTCAAAGTAGTTGAATGGGCTGCACGAGAGTTACACATGACAAGTGCAATTATTTATACAGCGCTGTGAAGCTGCATGGCTTCACCGTGTCCACATTTAATTTGAAAAGAGTGAAGCAAATACATGAAGTAATTATTAAAAGGCAGTCTAATTTTTAACGTTTTTACAATTCTTGTACAGAAAGCGAAAGCATAAGTTTTAAAATCAGATTAGTGCATTATGTTGATTTATACTCCTCAGCAGACAACCTTTGAGTCCAAGAGTAAAAKGAAGAGAGCCTGTCGAGGAGGCCTTTTTGCAATCAATAGGTTTCTACAAAGATTATGATAGTTTTACATTAATTGAGATTTATATATATTTATCAACATTGTTTTCTTTTATTCGCATYGACTAATAGAAATTATGATTCATCAACAAATTTTCCTCCTCTCTTATTGGTCGAGAGTCGRCCACATGACGTGATAGTACCCAATTTTGMTGTTAACAATATAATGGGCATTTTGCTATGATAGTTGCACTAAAACTAAACCAGATGTTCCTCAAAACTTTGGTAACTGCGGTCTGGCAACTTTCTCAGCATAATGCCATTACTTAATCTACTCTGTTTAAATAGCATAATTTCGATGAATTTAATTGTATCTATTTATATATTGTTTTATTCTTGACATTCAATACTGTTTAATTAGTGAARTACGTATTTTCATTCTATCTAATAGAGTACTAACAATAAAACCATGAAATCATATTAATTAAATAGTGTTACAGTGTACTAAATTATGTGAATTATTTTGTTTTCTGTTGTCTGATCTACACTATATTGCTCTAWTTCTACATTTTCAGACAGTCCAACATTTTGTTCATTGTGAATCCAAAACAATTCGCAGTTCTTGAAACCACAAAAGAAATTTGGATTCCCCCCCCCCCCCCGCCAAAAAAAAGAAATCATGAAACCCCTGCAAACGCCCCAGTATTTATGTCTCATTTGAATGGCACTTTTACGTGCTTTTATTTTTGCACTCTACACAGCTTTATGTGCGAACAAAAACGTTTGTTGCTTTGAATTTGTGAATTGATGAAAGCCGATGCATGAGTGATACATTTAAGTCTTTAAGCTATGCCTAGTAAAATAACGAAGAAATTGAACTATGGTCTATTTATGATAGATCGAGAAACCAGCAGTCAAGAACAGCTAAGAAAAAAACAACAAACAAACAAAACAAAACAAAAACAAAAAAACCCGGTCAATAAARTTTTTTATTAACTTGTCGAGAAACCTTTTTATCTATAATTTATTCTTGTTTTTATATATATATATTTAAGTTTATAGTTTGGCGGATGCATGCAAACACTGGCTCGAAATCGCCCTCGACCTCGTGTTCAAACAATTCAGCACTCGGAGTCTTTTCGTGATACGACATYGTGGGACTGATCACTTTGTTTTCAAATTCTCCCCTAGTCCGTAGTCGGTCTCTGGGTGGATGTATGAATGTGTGTAGAATAAGGATTCCCAATTAATGCATTAATATCGAAAGCTAATCAAAGACTCGCTTTCGWAACTATGAAAGGGGGAATCCCCTAATTGCATATTTAATTGATTTCATGAGCAGGTTAAAAGCAAAATGAATTGTGGTTTTTCACAATGAGATTACTTAAATGATGAAAAGAAATGATTTAGGAGTTATTTTATGATACAAGGACTCGTAAAGAACGAAGTTCTAATGTTTTTTTATTTGTTTGCTTGTTTATTTTTTGTTTAWTTTTTTCAGCAATCAAATCGTTTCCTGTTTCGAACTCCAAAGGAATAATTAAAACAACATAGATGCTGTCTTCATCATTTGACCAAAATATTAAATGGGCTGTTGGAAAAGTTTCAAATTGCGTTAGGAGCGATACATTTGCATGGCATTAGAGATGTTGGACTAAATTACACTGAGACCAAAGTACTCCATAGYTGGGTACCTCGTGTTTTAAAAACACARCGTTTACCTTGAACTGCCATTTATCACTACTAAACATTTGCCTTTAAAAGCTCCAGAAAGCTTGCTTTGAATGAGAAATTTGAATGGAGTTTTACTCCTTTGAATCAATTTTCATTCAACTTKTTGGTTTAACAGTGCTATTACCATATTGCAGTACAGTGTCAGATTATGATGTCATCTGAATCGAAAAACCCCTTGCATTGCACTGAAGTGGAACATCGATATCCGTCGTCTGAGACTGACCAGCAGCTAGCATCAGACAGCAAGTTATTGCAGTCAGAAGTAAAAGTTATTGCTGGCAATAGACACCAGTTCACATCATGGTAAGACTTCTTGTGTTTCATAAGAAAACCTTAGTTTAATATGATTTTTAAACTTTTTTATTTATCTGCGAAGACTAATGTTTGTTCCTTCCGGTTCCATGTCGATGCGGACGATTACAATTACCGCAAAAAATGTTACTGAAAAAATGTTACGCTRTGACTAATTGTCGAATAATATAGAATCTATAGGATTATTAATTGACTTGACGGAAAACTATTTTGGATCAATAAATCAGTCAAATTGACTGAGTCTTGATTTGATTGCCGATGGACGACTCCGCGTTTTCGCAAAAGTTTTCGCAAAAGTTCATTTTTCTTGTCGATGCTGAAGGCTAATCTGAATTTCACATGTAATTTTGCTACTCATGTGCAGATTATTACAAATCAAACTCTAGGAATTGTAGAAAATATCCCTATTTCTGTTACTCCTGCTCATAAATAATCCAGGCTCAAGAGCACTTAAAATTTCATTATCTTTCTTGCACCTTGTTTTTTTACAATACAATAAGTCTAGACGAATTGAACTGGACGCATATCTTCCGGTGAATGAACTTGGGCTTTCTTTCTGAATACTTTGATCTATTCCAAAAAAGTTTGATGCCTGATGCWGCGAATGATGTTTGCCCACTTCTATTAGTGATTTATTATAAAAGTTTGGCTTTAACTACTTGTTTTCAGTCATACATGAATGGAGCATTCGAAATATACTCGAAATGTGCGTTTTTCAAAAATACTATTAAAATCTGATACTGTTTTTTTTTKTKTKTKTKTGKGRGAGTGTGTGCTTTCTGTATGTATTGCCATTGCGCTGCTGTTCATACCGCTGGCAGACTGCATGGGCAAAATTCCTTAATTACTGTAATGATGAGATAAGACCTAAAGTGAGTTAAGACTGAAAAAGAAATAAAAACTGTATTTAGGAATAAAAAATTKTCGTCAGAAAGTTAGCAAATTATATTTGATCAATGGCTGTATTTAGGAATGAAAAATTCCAAAATTTGGCAGATTATATTCTAATGGCTGTAATTCATTCACTTTCGTATAACTGTCGATTTGGGCTCGTAAGTCCCAGCTTCCAAGAACATCTCTGCTAATTGGCTGGGTCCATCCAGAGCAGTGAAACTAGAGTTCGAACCATAAACAATAGAGCTTGTTGTTGGCCAGCCAACCACAATTAATTAGATCTGAAAGTCTGCACTAGACTGCATGATTTAAACCAAATCAGTCTGATTTTGTATTGTATGTCCTTTTAGTAGTCTTTGTTATTGTCAGTGCTGTCATTTGTCGTTGTCATCAGCTTCGTGTCACTCTCTACAGGTAGAAATATACTCAAATCCTGTTGCAAGTGACATAGCATCTCCTGGAACCTTGGAAGAAGGAGCGACAGCAATACAGCGAGATGCCACCAGCTTCAAACAACACCGACGCACTTTCATGGTCATTGCTTACTGCTTACTCCAGGTTGCCCGTACAATAACTTTAATCATCTACATTGGCCGTGCAGTAAAATGCTGTCTGGACAGTAAAACAGTCACCTTCTTATGCGAAAATGACGCCTTTGTCGCACACGATTACGAGGTTGAAGTTGTTTGGCTAAYTCTGAGCCTCGTTAACATAGTTATTTGCCTGAAAATGTTGATTGCCTGGCACGGCATGCCAGRTTTGAAGATTCTTACTGGTATATCTGTAAGACGATCTGGTATGTGGACGCTGGTATTCCTTGTCCTGACCAGCATTATTTCATTTGTTATTCTTACAAATAAGAATGACATCAGTGCTAGAAACATTGTCCTGGTTTCTTTGTTTGAATGCCAAATCATTTTCATCACAATGGCAGTGGTCATTTTAAATGGCACAATTGTTTCTATGTRTACAAGGAAAAACAACTACAAAACCGATGCTCTGTTCCTTATCAAGATGACCCATGTTTTGCTATTCTCGGAGTTCTTCGTTCTGTTCATTATTGGGACGCTGCAATTGGGCTTTGAAGTAAATGGTCTTGAAAACTCACCATCGCGCGTCTTTCAGAAGGTATTCACAGTGCTTCGCCAATTTAGTGAAGTCTTTTTCTACCATAAGATTTCCTCTTTCTTGTGGGTTAAGTTATTTTTAGATGAAAAGGATATTTTGAATRACATTCCACTCAAACACCATCACAAAAACATCAAATATGTTAACGTGTGAAGTTGATTATGCAAAGGCGGATACAGTGGAGTCCGTTATAAGGACGGCTAGGACGACACCCTCTTTTTTGGGGCTCAGAAATGTAGAAATAGAAATTATAATGTGAATAAAGAAAGCAAGGAAGAAATTAAATCGGGATGCGGCGAACTCTGAAAAACAACTATAGCAGCGTTCATGTGAAAAACTACTGAAATATTTTTTTTTCTGACACAGATAMATAGATTTTTTTTAGTTAGCCATCCCTCTTTGTGACGTTCTGGATCCGCCATTGTGATAAGCCTTGTACTTTGTATATAATGTATATAGACCATATAAAAAGGGCATGGTTATCGTAACGTCATAGTTTTGAGTTGTATAATATATCATTACTACCCGTTTGAAGAAAATATTATAATAAGTAAGATCTGCATGTTTCAGTGCTCTACCAGAAGTAAGAGATGTTTGAAAATGCAAAGGTTTGAGTGAAAATCAGTATGGAGGCCTTACCATTTCAAATAGTCCATATCGCAACCCGCGGAAAGCCTTGTGACGCAGTGCATTTTGGGATTGATAAATGAGTAAACAAGTGAACAACGATGTCAGTGCTCCAGTTGTCTGTAACGTAGACTCAGTTTTCGAAAAACATTGGGAAATATTGATATTGTAGTTAATCTCAGAAGCGAAAAAACAAACAAATATCAACATGCAAGAAAATACAGTAAGAAAAACCTCCAAAAAATGTACAGTTTTATCAAGAATTTCCATTTACTAGGCAAATCAAGCAAAAATGAAAAGAAACATATGTTGTCTGTGGAAAAATCGAAACTAAYTAGTGTTTTTACGATTTTAGCGATTTGTTTTGATGAAGAAAGGGAGATATATATCCCATGATACATTGCAAAACCATTCAAAATGGCGGGCTTGTGATATGGACTATGCTCGTAACTCTGTTGATAGTGAAAACCGATCTTTAATAGCATGGACCGTTTAAGTTGCTCATTCCCAGTCTTCTGCTCGTTTTTCATATGGTCAATGCCATTGTTTAAGGGACTGTGCAATAATTACCAGGAGGGGGGCGTAAAACCAGAGGGGGGGGACATTACATAAAATTGATGCCTAGATAGGGGGCTCAAAGTAAAATTACCTAATTAACAGAGGGGGGCCTTTAGTTTTATTCAAAATTTTCATTATTTTCTTTATCTTAAATTCAACGTAAATAACAACCATAATATTGTAGAAAATGAAAAAAACAACTTTAACTGACAATATGATATTGATATTACTTTTTCAGTTTTAAGAAGCTTTATCAACAACACTGATCATTTTTAATCTGCTAGCTAAACCTTGTTAGGTTATTAACTTTTTTATGAAAAATCCATTATGAAACGAAACGTACTAGTGGAAATCTAAATTCAAAGATTCGTTGATGTGGGATTGAAATTGAGCAAGATATGATTTTTTTAACTATCGATTTTTTAATTTTATCACATAAATTGAAGATGTAGAAGCTGAAAATCATCTTGATGATTTATTAGRCATAACAAGCACAAGTAACATCAAAGTCATTTTTGACCATAAAAACGTTACAAAAAACCTTTCCCAGGAACAAATTCATACAAGAACAATTATTTAGCAGAACAGGCCCCGTCAGCTCCTCCTGAAAGTTTTTGTCTTTACACTTAGGTCCAGATAAGTAAGCCACCTCTTGCATATCTGGGTTCGTCTTTAGTGAAGTTTCCATTGCTACAGTTGACTCGACTTGCTTGTTGGGGTGCGATTTTCTTATGCTTCGGAGGGGGTCTTCTGGCTAATTTTCTGCCTGAGAAGTTTGGTTTTTCGCCCCCCTCCTGATAATTATTGCACAGTCCCTAATGTATATAATGTATGCATGTCATTTCTAGAGGGAATGTGAAATTTTAAAACGAAACGATGCATAGCCGCTCAAGCCTTTATAGGTATAAATCGTATGATTTCAAATAAAGTTTATGTTCCTATAATTGTTGAGTATCGCTTCTAGAGTGAGCACTGTAAAATAAGGGACTGTGAAAGAACACTCTTAAGTCCAAAGAATTGTTCGAAAGAATTCAAAGAACGAAATACATATTTCCAGAGCAATGTTAGTCGTAAKCGTTGTATTTGACGAAGAGTAGACTTAATGCACTTGACAATTCTTTTGTCAAATTAAAATAGAAGATATTTTAATATCTAAAAATATATTTTAATATTTAAAAATGGGTACACGGGAAATTATCGTCGGGTATTGCGTAAAGATCTCTCACAAGCGAGCAGCGAATTGCAGTTATTTGTGATTCGGCCCATAATCGCTAGACAACGCTAGACTGATTCCACAAGTCGGTCCCACTTCCCTCTCTGTCGTTATTTTTTGTCGCTCACTGGAAATAATCCGCATTCAAAAATAAGTGCAATTAAGCAATAATTGTTATAATTTCCAAGACAGTTATTGAAGCAAATGTCTTAACTAATTCTTTAACTACCTTCTTGAAAACGTTTGTTAAACCTAGCATTTTATATTACTACAATTACATCCTAACAATGCCTATAAGTTCCTAGTAAAATGTTAATAGTCTTGATACGATTTTATTGATCATTTTCACCCATTCCCATTAGATTTAAAAGATAAAAAAACAGCGGCCATGTTGGAGGAATGAGCAACAGATACTAATGAGAAATCGTTAGTGAGAATTCCTCCAAGATGGCCGCTGTGACGTAAGCTGCTGAAAACTGAAAACGAAGAATATAGCTGTTCCAAAAAAAACTTGTCAAATTAAGCGAAACGGCGATTSTACGATAGATTTAACATATTTGATCAAATATAATGGCTTATCTGCTGAAAAACAAAGCAAGCAAATCACAATTGAAAATGTTTATTTGTTGGAAAGCCGACATTATTTATGCCTCTCATGAGTGATATTGCCATCTTTAATCCATATACACACAGTGACAACCTTTTTTGAATAACTATATGCACGAGCATCGATGCCGTTTTGTCGCGAATAGTCGGCGAGGAGCGAATACTACGACTTATATGGAATAGCAGTCTATGTGATAGCAATAGGTAAAGAAAACCCAAGAAATACTCTTTATGAGCCTACTTTCTGATCTCAATTTCAACAATTAGTCCAATATTTGGRGTGTCATGTTACTTTTCATTTTGGACTGAGGAAAAAAATGACCTTTCGAAAKCTGAAATACTTTTTGAAAGCTGGGTTTTTCGCTTTTCATTGTCAGCSTTCACTGACTTCCTCACAGCAGTTATTATGGATAATTCACGGAGATTGCTGTTCGCTTTGTTCGGCTGTTTTTTATTGTGGCGGTTTCTTGCATCCGTTTTATACGTTGTTCGTGCAATAGTCTGCACCGTGGAAGAAAGAAAAATCAGTTTTCTTTGTGGAAACTTCACAGTTTATCATGACTCTTTAGAGCTTCAAGTGGCGTGGCTGACTTCTCATATCTTGACTCAGGKGATTAGTCTTCTTATAGTCACCAAGTCCACGGTGTTCCTRGGTTATTCAGTMCTTTTTAAAAAGCTCATTCGTCTGCCAAACTATTTATCACTGGTTTTCATTTGGCTCTTGTCAATAATAGGATATACAACCATCTTAGTGGTTCATCACAAAGGGAAGACGCTACAAGAAATCAGCCTGGTTTCTTTCATGATACAATGTACTCTAAGTGTTTTCCTGGTTGGTTTACTGAACTTTACTCAGCTCAAAGAACTCACTCGGCATTGCATGATTTCCAAAATTCTTTGCAAGATGACCGTTTTCATGTTTTTTATTGACAACGCTCTAATTGCTATAGTGGGTTCGATACAGTTTGCCTTCAAAGTCAACGGGCTAGACCACAGCCAGCATTCGGTTACAGAAGAGTTTCACATTCTGTTTTCGGTTTTACGACGATTTACTTTGCTAGTATTTTTTTACAGAATAGCAAACTTTTACTGGCAAAAATTGTTTATGGACAGAAACAATCTTTTAAGCTACCATCAAAAGATTGGAGAGCATGATTCAGAGCTTCAAGCTGATCTCGGAAGAGGAAACTATCAAGCAATTTTGTAAAAGAAAGTATTCAATTTAAACGATTTTAGTCTGCGTATGTGAGCTTTCCAATGGGAGTGGAAAAGCCCAAACTGAAGCAAATTAACTGAATGGGCTTCTGCTACTTTACTCGTACTCCTAGTGAAGAAAGCTAAGATACCTTCGTTGCAACGGCTGGTGACGACCAAGACAGGGATCGACAGATTCTAGTCCGTCCATCCTCACCATCTTACAATAGCCGTATCAGCTGACCGCATTTATTATATAGAAAGACAAAAAATCCCTTAAATTGTCCAAAGAGTAACTGAAGCAACTGAGACAATGATMGCACTTAGTGGTGGGACGAATTCATCTGAAATACCAGCGTCCATTTTTGACAAGTACGCGCAGGTCAACATGGTGAAATATTTCTGTAGCAATATCAAGTTAGAGTAGATCAACTAGGATGTGTTTCATGTATCTGGTTATCCTTTAAACTGCTTACTCTTACACGAAATGATCGCCGTTTTCGAAAAAATCAAAACTAACATCTTTTGTCCTTAGACCACAATGCACTGTAAAAGGTCTATTGAATCCACGGCACGTGAGATGGGCTTACAAAACAAACACAAAAGAGAAACTTATATTCATGAAGAAATTTTGGATGCGTAAAGACATATCAATGCAAGCTCTAAGAATACGGCTACGTTTATTATCATATGTACTTCATTTAGGACTCATTTGTGTATCATTGATGTAAATTTTATGTTTCCTTATTTTGTAAAGCATAGAATCCTTGTATTATGCTATAATGAATTATTATTATTAGTTATTAATACAACTATTTCACTATATACAATGTATTTGGTACCAACTGAAAACATGATTGTAATTTTTATTACATACATAATTCATATCCTGAAAAGGAAAACCCTCAAATCCGACAACAAACTCTTCGATATTTTCTTCATAATTTACTGAATTTTTTGAAACTTGAAAAGGTATCAATTTAAAGTAAGTTTGTACGTTTTATCGGTGAAACCGAACTCGACCCACATTGAAGTTTCAAATGTTTTTGTACATCCGCTAAATGCACAAGAGCCTCCAGTGAATAAGCAAATACTGTCTTCGTACACGTTATTTACTGGATCAGCATTTCCAAAGATGCACAGCTGCAGTAGTCCTGCATTGTTCTATTTACTATAAAGAAAGGAATTCATTAKTAGACGCTTCAATTATAACTCTGGTCACATGATGGACCCTTTGAATCCTGAAAGCAAACTGATGTTAGTTTCATCAGTTCTATATCATGTATAAAAAGCGATCACTAAACGCGATCTCTTGCACTCTTAATTCACTTTACGTTTCATAGACAAATAGTTTGATCTTACTCTCTATTTCAAAATTTTTCTCTCCAAAGAAGGAAATCTTAATTAGAGATTCGAAATCACACCAGACTATTTGATTTTCTTTCTGTGAATAAATCAAGTGACGACCGTGGCGAATTCCCGTTTGCTYTGTCCCTTTCCGATTGCGATTAAAGAGCCATGCTCGACCGGCATCCATTTCGAACGGTGTTTAGTGAAGGTAACACATTCGAGGTTCCTCTATATAGTAAGAAAAAAAGGTTTTTTTTACGACATAATTTGTTTTCATCATATGTAATTATATGATAAACAGAATATTAATGTTCGCTTGGAGATCATGACGAATTTTATCTTCTTGTGTTGAAAATCTCTCACTCGAAGATAAAATCCGTATCTCCGCGCGCCCATGTAATATCCTCTATTACTCCAGTTAATTAGCACTTTATGCTATGTGCATGAAGATATCGTATGATTCGACGGAGACGGAAGTGGATTGCGAATGTACATTTGAGGTCACCTCATTTTCCWTATGGAAATATCTAAAGCACGACAGCTTTATTTTATGCCGGTGATCGATCTTGGCCCTTTAATCCTATGAGTATTGATCGAGAGCGCCAACTGGAGAATACCATCATGGCCGCAAGAAAGAAATCCTTCATAAGTAAAAAAAAACCCAGTTTGATCGGAGCAGCTTTTAGACTTACGTTTGTTCTTAATGTATTGAGTTAGTGACTCACCATATTTTATACATTATCAGTCTTAGTCGAATTACTTTTTCTTTGAAAACAGCCAGGAATCATCAAGTTTGCGTTCTTGAGCCAGGTGCTCTTGTTTCATCAATCCATACGCTAAAGAAAATATCAATAAAATTTTGTCGATAAAATGTTCTCTTGACTAACAAGTTGCTGCTAGGACAACAGACCTCTTTACTAATACAGAGTCCATCTTGAATTTTTAAGAAGTTATGCGATGTTCAGATTTCAGGGTACAAAAAAAACAAAAACAAACAAAAAAAAAAAAACGTTTTAAGAAATGATATTTGATCTCAAAGCATATATAGTCTATGAATGGCTTAGTGTTTAGTGTTCCCGAATCGATATACAATAGAATTAAAAATGGCGGCCGTATCGGTAAAAAAGGTCTGTTTGATGATGATCATTATAGAATTACATTGGGCTAAGTCTATCTAACCTGCAAATAGCTTTTAAAAACACTAGCAAGGCTCTTTGTACTCAGTGTACGAATTGCTCAAGCTGTCGAGGACTTGTACATGCGCTCATAGAGTATAGAGTACGTTGGATAGTTCTGAAATACAATTGCCTATTCTTCGTCGAGCGTATGTTTGTTTATTGATTCCTAGTACATAGACCGAATTAAAAAGTAATGCATTATGGTTCATACCAGAGTAAACAGAGTTATACCATAGTCCACCACAAACCTCCCAAAACTCGCCATGTTTAGTTCTTCCAAGATGATCGGCTCTAATATGGTTTCCTCGACACTTCACGTTACAGTACTTCTCATCAGCATCTCCATACTTGTCGWAATTATGTCCACAGAAGCACAGGTAACCATTTTGAAGGCCGGCATAGGGAAAGAATTTTGCAGCGCACGCTTGAATACAATTGATTTTATCGCCGTAGAAGTTTTTGATTGGATAGGGAAGGGMCCGTTCCTCTTCTTTAAATGGSGATTTGTCGTCTTTGTAGCAACCAATATATTCTTAAGTAAAGCAAAGACAAGTATTCAGCCACGGGATTTATAAATCATTATCATTTGTTGGGATTTTACATTGCTAACATTTTTTTATAAATGTGCAACATTTTTCCATAAGATGATATGCGCTTTCTTTTAGTATCGTTTTAAGAGCCTTTTTACATTTTCCATTTATGGCATTATTGAGGACATTCCCATTTTAACTGCATGTCATTTAAATGCATTTAATTAATGTTCAAAAGCAATTCTATAATTACAGATATAAGGGATATTGATTTTTTTGCGAATAAAATTCATTTGACTAGAATCGACATATGCAGTATGCAGAAAGTTTTTCTAAGCAGAATTGGATTCCAGTTATAACTTTATCTCTCGCCTTGCGGACTCGCTGGAATCACTGACACCACATACCCACTTCATAACAAATCACTGAAAATAGCTTTATTTGCAGTAGAAACTTATTATARCGAATTGTGCAAACAATATTGTAAAACTCATGAATAATTAATGAAAAAAAATACAAAAGAAATCACAACCGTGAAGAGTGTTGTTATACTTGATACRAAACTGTCTTGATTTGATAAACTTCAATCTAGTTTTCTCAGCCAAATTCAATTTTATCTTTAAGTTTTTAGTAGATTATGAATGTATACACCTAAACGTTTCACAAGTAATTTACARCATTCGCGTCCGTGTTGTATGGGCTTTACAATCTCTCGCCTTCGGCTCGAGATTGTAAAATCCCATACAAAAAGACATTAACTTACGGTGTCCGTTATAACAACAGTTGATTGTACGATACAAAATCGATAATAAGTTATGAAAACAACATTTAAAAGATTGCCATGATTCGCTAAGTTACCCATAAAATGTTTAATATTTTCACGAATGTTGAGCAAACTCGTTCWTTGATTGGCTACTATGTTGCTAGGATATCAGCTCATACATCTTTATAGAGGTAAATGGATTTTGAAAAGAAGTATATCTGAACATTCTTTATTTCTCATCCATTGCTTGCGAATGAAATAAAACAATTATTCCACTCAATCGAAGATAGAAAGTCTCGCGTGGTCGAGTATCAGTTTAATATTCGTTATCGCGTTTTCACATAAAAATCTGAAAATATTATGTATATATTTGTATATGGGAAAGATCGATTATTTCATCTTCAATGCAGATCAGTCTAGGTTTTCTCAGCCCAATTAAAGAATAGTTATATAAAGCGATGTCCAGTTGACTTGTTTTGATCTCTTAAGCAGGTAATACCATTTACAGAAAACACAAGAGAGATTAACAGACCTGTTTCCACATTGTACAGTTTTGCTAACTCTCCTTGCTCAGGCCTTGACTCAACTGTGAATAAAATGAGTATCAATTTATATCATTTAACAAAAACTTGATGACTTTCAGAAATATATACAAGAGAGTGTCTGGGTAGAAATAGTCTTCACGATCGTTTCAGGTTCAACCACCTGTTATCATTGTCAAGTCGACCATGTCCGACTGTAATTTCTGTGACTTTGTATTTCGTATGGATCAATGAGTGCTCGATGGTTTCTAAGTTAAGACAAACACTTCAATTTTCAAGTGCTAAGCAWTCAACAAATCTTCAAAATTATTTCTTTCGAGAGTTTACTCACCGAGCATTCCAAGAGCTGTTAAAGCTTCAAGATAAACGGGACAATATCGTTAAAAAAACTAATACAATATGACTTTTAATACAGACAAAACTCAACAAAACTCACCTACTATCGTCAATAGCCTCATATTGACGACTTCTACTTGAAAAGCTGCCAAAAAAGAAGTATTTTTGTGATTTTTTCCGGCCAAGACAAAATCGCGGATTGATTGGACTTGCGCTGTTTAAACACCAGTAAATTTTCCCAAACAGACAGGTAGAAGTATAATATTATTGGCAGTTTATTACAGCGAATATGACCTAAGGTYCGACTACTAAGGAAAAATGGACTTTTTATCACACGATTAAAATTAAAGCATCAATACCTTTGGTTACTCTTGACTAGCTCCAGACGAACTACCGTTGACAGCAGATGATTTTTGAAAAGAAACGCTTGGGAAGGTTTTTAAAGAGATAGTATTAAAGATTGAATTGACTGGTACCTGAAAAATCTAGCCACGGCTAGAAACACCCCACGGTATTGTCTCTATGCTTTCTATAAATACAGATTGATTGATTAACAGTTATTCAGAAAGAAAGCCATTTTAACAAAACCCATAGCCGCACCGGCAGTKAAAACTATTTAATTCATGGGTTTCCTATATATGGTAAAAATATTTYTTTTCGCAGAAAWYAGTTTAGTTTATGGGCTTCCTTTGGTAAAACAATTAGAACGTCATCKTCGATACTTACGGGTGTCATACAAAAGTGGAACTAGAAATAGTTATCACTTAATCTCCCCCAGGGTGATATAGATTTTCATGAAGATGCTTTATTTGCCCGTTGGTTTATGACTATATTCAAAGTGTTACGTTACGATGTCTTTCACGGTCTGAACAGGCTGATAGTGTTGTAAGCTGACTAAAATGTCTAATACAGCTTCTCAAAGTTGAACTACCACAATGTTTCTTAATGTTGTGCGTTTATTATCAGCAAAAACCTTACAAGAATCCACTGACTTCCTCTCCTGGCAACATCACGGGTTTACTGCCATGTTTGTAAAGCCGTA